TTTGCATAATAGTCCTCTGAAAAAGTGATAGAGAGAATATGGATTTTAATACACAAATACTCCCTTGATCCCATCTATCCCCTATGTTGCCTCTGGACAAAGCATTATAGTTTGAAAAGAGCATCTTTGGGACTATAAAGATTATATTTTGTCAAAATTTTCATTTTAGCCAAAACATAATGATGATCCTAATCTACATATGTTATTAAAAGAGAAGCATCATTTAAACTATATATTTACTTTTCCAAACTTGAAACATCATTTTGATGAAAACATTTTAAATCTTTTTTATTCTATAAAAATGTTTTGGATTAGAAAAAATATTGATTTATAAAATCATTTGGTTCTAGTATAGTTTCAGCTTGGATCAATATTTAAGTTTTCTCGGGACTTCCGGTGGCGATCGCGGCGCCGATGGCGGCTTTTCTTTGAGTCGTCTGCCCCGAGGACGTGTCAAAGCCGCAGGAACAGCGTGCAACAGCTGTTCCGCGGCTCGGAATCCCCCTCCCCGGGCAAAGGGGGGATGAGCTTTCTAGATAGGGGTAGAGTTCCCTAGCCCTCATAATTCTTCTTTTGTGAGGACTAAGGTGTGAACTCCCCCGGAGTCTGGGACTTTCTTCGCTCCTCGGGCTGCCTTTGTTCTCCGAACGAAGCCAGACGCTGATTCCACCTTTATATTTTTGGATGCTGAAAAAGCATTTGATCAATTAGATTGGGGGTTCTTGTTCCGAGTTATAGAGAAAATGAATTTTGGGGGAAAAATTTTGTCCGCTCTTAAGGCTATTTATCAACAGCAATCAGCACAGATTATAGTTAATGGGGGGTTAACAGAAGCATTTAAAATTGAAAAAGGAACTAGACAGGGATGTCCGTTATCCCCATTGTTATTTGTATTAACAATGGAGATTTTATTAATTAAAATTTGTGAGTCTTCTATAATAAAGGCAATAAAGGTTAATAAGAATGATTATAGGTTAAGAGCCTTTGCTGATGATTTGGTGTTAACATTAACTCAGCCAATAGATTCGGTAATTGATTTGGTTGAAATTATTGCACAATATGGGAAAGTTTCTGGTTTTAAGGTAAATAGCAATAAGACTAAAATATTACCGAAAAATATGTCTATGAATGATAAAGATATTTTA